GTCCCTTTCATATCTATGTATACCCTAGATTTTGCTTCAAAAATTATTTATAAATAATAATACTAATAATAATATGAGCCATATGATCAAGATCTGACAGTTAAGAGCCAGCTTGTGACATTGTGACTCTAAGCCATCTCAGCCATCTACTCTGATTTGATGGTTGAGATCAAGGGTCACAAATACTATATATGCGGGTGGGGTTACATAAAAATCGAAACCTCAAACCTAAGGGTCCTTGGATTGGTACACGGTGGGATGGTACGAAATGGAATCATCCACCATTTGTCCCCATGATGAACAATGGAGCTTAGCCAAATTCTCTAGCAACAAACATTTGAGTAGATATCCATTGTCCATTATTTTGAACATTGAGTGTACTCTAATCCCTATGGGTACGCTGTATACTTTCATTTCCTAGAATTTCAAATTTCAATGGAACATATCAATAAAATCATCAAACCACCTGAAAAAGTGTAGTGGTAAAATCGGCCATTTTACTTGCAAAGTAGTCACTATATAAACATCTTTTAACTCAGGTTACTTCTCAATAATTTTGTCAAAATGTTAAACTAGTTTAATTTAGATTTGAAACTTGGAACAGGTTGCTCACTTTATCTAAATTGGACGGCCGGATGGGGAGAAGTATAGATCTTCTATACAGTAGGGGAAGTATAGAAATCTTTTCCTTTATGTATTTGCCCATATATAAATCGCATTGGTCAAATAATATAGATACATTCTGTTGTTCTGGGTTTTAAATGAGGAATGTAGTTTTTAATTAAAATCTCTTGGGTTTGGAACCTCATACAAGTGGGATTCATTTTGCTATTTGGTTCATGCGGCATGAGCCAAATGATAATGCCACCTCCACGTAGTCAAGGTTCTAAATCTAGAACATGTATTAACAATAACATGTATTAACAATTATATAAGGAATCAGTCATATACTGTAATAAGTAAGGTCCATTCAACAAACCACCATAAAAAAAAATTTAGTGCTAGAAAAACCTTCCAAATGATCATCTTAATTTCGATATATATGGATATGAAAGAAAAAGATTTCGAGTCATAATCTATTTTTAAAATTTACAAATGTTTATAGATCTACTCGGTTTGCATCATTTTTTAAACTTCAAAGTTTATATTAAAAAAATTTCATACAGATACCTAATTTCTATATAAATTTTCCAATCACCCCTTCCCGTGTTTTTCTTTCAAGTGGCATTAGAGTTTCCTTAAATATTTCATCTTACCTCCACTCCCCTCTCTACCTTCTTTTCTCACATTTTTTACGTAAAATAAAATTGCCACTAACAAATTAATATGTGCTGAATAAAGTCCTCACTTTCTTTTATCTCCTTCGCCCTTTTTAACCGTCTCTCGGGGTAAAGAGAGAGAGAGGGAACATATCATGATAGAGCGGGTAAAGAGGGAGAGAATCACGGGAGAGAGGATGGAGCATATTATAATGAGAGAGAGAGAGAGGAAGCGAACCACTAGACATGGGTAAAAAGGGTAAAAGAAAGACATGTTCTTACTTAGCATACTTTTAACTTGTTGATGCCAATTTTATGTTAAAACAAAGTGAGAAAAGAGGTAGAGAGGGGATGGGGGGTAAGTTGAAATATCTTGAAAAACTTTAATGGTGCGTAAAATAAACATATGGGGAAGAGCTATAATGAAATTCATATAAGAATTAGGGATCATTACGAAATTTGCCGCTCTCGTGGTAAAAGTACATTTCCATGTCATAATAGGGATTTCCCTCGTGGTAAAAGTACATTTCCATGTCATAATAGGGATTTCCCTCTCCGAACCTACATCTTTTGTCAGGGTTTATAAGTTATTTTGAAGGTTGGCTTCTTATATAAAACATATCCTTTATTAAAATCTCTTGCTCATGATTTGAGATCTAACTTGGAACATATTTGAAATTAGAAACTCTAATCCGTGTTCAAGATCATCAATAAGAAAGAGTATTTACACCATTTGGCTTAAGTGGCTCAAGCCTAAATAACCACCACTTAATGCAGATACTGAGAAAATACCACTTTGAACTTAAGATGGTGAGCAATTTCATGAATAATTCCTAGAATGTAAAAACTTTGTGATGCCATTTCGTTTTCCTGGTCTACACGATAATGGTCTCCTTTCCATCACAAAAATATTTTGGTGCTTGAAATTGAGGAGTCTTACTTGTTTCTATGGGAATGACACATTAATGTGACATGCACTGAATGCAATCTTGGCATTTTATTGCTGTGAATTGACAGGCCACTAACTCGGGGTTAGTATTTCCTCCACAGGCTCTAGATGCTTAAAAGGAGCACCTTTTAATAATTCAGATTGAACCATCCTCGCGTTTGATTTCGGATGATGTATGCTCATTGTAATTCTTTTTCCAATAATAAAGATGTTAACATTTGTAGGAAAAAAAAGATTGAACCATTCTTATTTAAGGGTTAAAAATAAATTTTATTTTAATTTAAAAATATTATTAATCTGAAATTTGGATTTTAGCCTCATTTTTTTGAGTAGAATTAAATAAAAATAATAAAAATATTTTGAATAAAATATATTGATTAAAATGAATTTAGGGGTATTTTGTTATTTTTATTTAATATGATTTTTATTATTTATTTAGTTTTATTTATAAAAATAAACCAACAACTTAAAATTTAGAGAAATATTTTGTTTAAACAAAAATAAAAATAAAATATGAAAGTGATACAAACTTTAAAGATATTGACAACTTCTTGAAACCATAGAATTCCTTGATACAAACTTTAAAGATATCGACAACTTCTTTTTCATTTAAGATGTGAAAAAAATTATATAAGGTGTCTAAGAATAAGGTGAACCTAAAACCCACTAGAAAAGGTTGTTTCTATGTTGGAAAACCCTCAAATTGATCATCTCGACCTCAAGATTAGGGATTTTTAATCCTAAAAAAAGTCTATCTTCAAACATATTATATGAACTGAACATTTTCAAAATTTTCACATATCTATAGCTCTCCTTAATCGTCACCATTTCTGAAACTTTAAATCTCATAATTGAGATAATATATTTTCATATCATCACAAGGCTTTGCAGCAATTTTCAGCATAGTTTTGAAGTGCACCTTACTTCAATAGTATATGATTGACATCTTATACAGAAAGGTTGGAGTGTGTATATTATGTTCTTACAGGAGCATAATACACATTTACTCCCTCGAGCACAAGAGTAACTTGAAAAGAGTTTTTTTTTTTTATATATCCAAAATGTTGGGAAGCATAAAAAAAATCACTAGAAGATTATATTTAATAGAAAAAATTTCAATTTTGAGTTCCCTTGTACTTAGATCTCGCCCTTCAAAAATAGGACTTTCGATTCAATCTTAAGACACTATTTCTTTTAAGTCCATAGATAATGTAATTTGGATTCTTTTATTGAATATGGAATATGGTTGAGGTACCTTTCCTGACCCCAAATTTAGGTCCTAGCCATCAATACGAAATAAAACAAGTTGAAATCCATCCTAAAGCTGCATGAAAAACCCTATTCCAATTGGAAAGCCGATTGTTTTGAAAACTCAAGATCTTTTTTTTTTTTTTTTTTAAGATTATTTTTCCATGGTTGTCATCATCGTCAAAGCCTTTTTTCTTAATTAATTGGGGTTGGCTATATGAATCTTTGTCCGTCGTTCTTCTCTATTAAGGGCCATACCTTCAATGAGACTATAAATCTTCTTATCTTTTCTCATTATTTCCAATCATGTTTTTTTGGGCATATTTCTTATCTTTTTTTAGTCTCAAAAATTCAAATAAAATTATTCTAAATAATATTATTCAAATAAAATTATTCAAAATGGGTGCTTCACCCGAGAGAATGAAAGTACACTTGGCTTTCTTGAGGAATATGCTCTTCATGCCCTCTTAATATTATTAGGGAAATTTATTAAAATACCTATTAGAGATGAAGTATTTAACACCTTGCCTAGTTGAAACTATTCCAACTCAAGAGCATGCCTTTTTCTATAGGCATTTTTAAACTAAACCAAAAGATATGGGCAAAAACTTAATTTCTTCATTTTTTTTTTTTTGTATTTAGCCGGACCTGATTCTTGCCTTGGAACTATGGAATTCAATAAATTTTAATTGGTTCATGAATGGGAAAAAGACTACTAAGGGGGCCCATTTGGGCCTTGTGGTAGTCCTACTCTTTGATAAACATATTTATTAGTAGTAGAAAATATTTCATTGATAAAGCATGTTTGCCTTTTAACTATCCTTTGATAAGCATATTTATCTTTATAGACAATTTCAAAAAATGTAGTATTAAGTGGTCATGCTCATGTTTATGATCTTCTATTTCTCTTTCCTATTAAGAAGTTCTTTCCACATGTAATGAAAGAGGTGTTATGACCATATTTGTACCGTGCCATCTCGCCGATCACTCGTTAATGGGTGTGAGTTACGGTGCATCCAAACAGGGCCATAACGAGTGCTTTTGTCTTATTTCTTAAGTGGTCACATGAAGTGGAAGACTTTTATGCAGCCTTCCCTTTGATGTGGATGTATCCTAAATGTGAAGATTTTTGAAGTGCTCACATGGAGTAGAAGACTTCTTTGCAAGCGTTTACATGGGTTCGTCTCTTTGATGTGGATGTTTCTTCAACAGTGTTTTCAAATATGCAAGCCAATTTCTGCTCGCTATCGGTGGATAGTTGGCAAGTGTTGGACCACATACCCGCTTGCCAACTATCTTAGAAGATAAGATACGGCCTAGAAAAGCGAAAAAAAAAAAAAAAAAACTTTAAAAACGGTCCGAGGATACCATTTTTTGACCGAAGGCATTATGGGAAATTTTAAAAACTAAACAGTAAGTGACCTTTCTCATAATTCATGGCCAAAATTGACTCATTTTGTATTTTGTTTATTTATTTTGTGACCATACATAAATTACTCTTTCTGTATTTTTTTTCTATTATGTACAGATGACTGACCAACTCGAGCTCCAGAGTTGGATTTCTTGACCTGGTATAGGTCTCCAGCCAATTTAGGGTTGTACTCTGTTTTTTCAAACACCAGTCCAAAATATGAAAGTGCTAGAAGGAAGTCCCCAAAAACTTCTGATCATCTTAACAGTGTGAAGTTAGTTCACCTCATCACCCTTGTATCATCCATCCTCGTCCAACTCTTAAGAATTTGTCTCTTTTTTCCATGACCATGTTGTCATCCGAACCAGTGCTGTCTCATCGTTGCTACTTTGTGATGGTCATCTTCTTTGCTTTCTCGACTACTCTGCCCGTTTGTGAATGTCACAGACCATCATTAAACAACTTCACCGATCTACAAGCATTGCTATCCTTCAAAGACCACCTTAGCTCTGATCCCTGCAATGTGTTGGGTGACTGGAACACCAACACATCATTTTGCAACTGGATTGGAGTCTCGTGCAGCAAGCACAGGCAGAGAGTCACCATTTTACAACTATTTGATAGCAGCCTACAAGGCATAATCACCCCCTTCCTAGGGAATTTGTCATTCTTGCGGCTTCTGTCTCTTGCAAACAACAGCTTTCATGGCCACATACCCACTGAAATTGGCCAGTTGTGTCGCTTGAAACTCCTCACTCTCAACATAAACCAAATGAATGGAGAGATCCCGCAAAGCATCGGCAATTGTGAGAAGCTGAAGGTGTTGTCACTCTCTTATAATGGGTTGGTTGGAACCATTCCTAATGAGCTGGGTCTTCTAAGGGAGCTAAAGAGATTGTATCTTGGAAGAAATTACATTACCGGCACAATCCCGCCTTCACTCGAAAACCTTACTCGTTTGGAGGAACTCGCACTCGAAGAGAATCAACTCTGTGGTAGTATACCACATGAGATAGGATTCTTGGGAAGTTTGTTTGATTTATATCTAAACAAGAACAACTTCACGGGATCCATCCCGCCTTCACTTGGAAATCTTTCTAGCTTAGAGCAGCTCGTTATGAATGAGAATCACCTTCAAGTTAGCATACCTCAGTGTTGAGGATTGATGTCTTGTATTCAGAGGAAATAGATCTGACAAGGTGGAGTCAAAGAGACGACTCCAAAGGACTGTTAAAATCCCAAAATTTTTGTATCCGTACATGGGGTATTTTGGTAATTTGTACCATCTGCCTGGGACTCTATATATTGTTGCGATGGGGATTCTTTTAGGGTTAAGGAAAAAACAGAGATTTCTTTGTAATACGGAAGCAGAGAGAGGCGTGAGGAAGAGATTTCTTTGTAACCCTATTCTTCATTGCCAGTAAAGAAGCTCTCATCACGTTGTCGAGCAATGTATATCTTTGCATTCTGGTTTATTGTCTCTTTTTGTGCTTGTTTCTTCTTTCCTGTTTCGTGGATTGTTTTTCATTTCTGCAAATTGGTATCAAAGCCTACCAAGTTATTCCGCTTTTTTGGGGTTTGCTATCACGATGACAGGAAAGGGTTCAAGCGTCAAGTATGACATTGAGAAGTTCAATGGAAAGAACAACTTCACTCTTTGACAATGAAAGATAAATGATCTTTTGATACAGCAAGGTCTGACTAAGACTTTGCTAGGCAAATTGAAGAAACCAGCAAAGATAAACGATGAAAAGTGGCAAGAGATTGAGGAAAAGGTGGTAAGCGTGATCCGTCTGAATCTATCAGATGACGCCTTGCGTTATGTGGTGGACCTCGAAACTGCTCCGGAGGTTTGGACAAAACTCAATAGTATTTACGTGATGAAATCCCTAACGAACAAGTTGTTCTTGAAGAAACAATTGTATTCTTTTTAGATGGAAGAAGGCACAGATCTGATTGAACATTTCAGCGAGTTCAACCAGATCATAAGCCAGTTAGCAAGCCTTGAGGTCGAAATCGAGGATGAAGACAATGCCCTACTTCTGTTGGCTTCGTTTTTAGGATCATACGATCACCTGGTTACGACTCTACTATACGGGAATGAGTCTTGAGACGGACGAAGTCATTGCTACTCTTTTGTCAAACGAGACAAGGAAGAAGACTAGCAGTATTAAATCTCAGGGAGAATGTCTCTTTGGAAAATACAAAGAGAGTCATAAAAGGGGCAGATCAAATCAAAGGGGATTAAAAAAGATCTGGAAGCAGAAGTCGATCAAAATAAAAAAGAAATGGGAAGGGCAAAATTACTTATTATTACTATAAAAGGGAAGGTCATATGATGAGAGGCTGCACGAAAAGAAAGGAGGATATAAAGACAAAAAAATAGGAAAAGCATCTGATGAAGTTAGTGTGGCTGATAGCTCTGACAGAGATGATGGAGATCTTCTCTCTATATCTTCAGGTAATAATCAATTTACTGATTCTTGGATTTTAGATTCTAGATGTTCTTTTCATATGTGTCCAAATAGAAACTGGTTCGAAACCTATAAATCATATAATAGTGGGTCTGTTTTAATGGGGAATGATACGGTCTGCAAGACCATTGGACTATGAACTATCAAAATCAAGATGTTTAATGGGAAAGTATGAACCTTATCAAATGTGAGGTATGTCCCACAATTAAAGAAAAACTTAATATCCTTGGGGGCCCTTGATTCGAATGGTTGCAAGCAGTGTTTTAAAAATCGGCCAGTCGAACCGGACTAGCCCGGTTCGACTCGGGAACCGACACAGCCCGTGCCGGTTCCGATACAAAACAGGGAACTGCCCGGTTCTAGAGAAGAACTGCCAGGTTTTAGAGAAGAACCGCCGGTTCCAATCTGGTTCTACCCGGTTCCCTCCCTGCACGCATGCGACACGCACGTGCACGAGTGCGACACGCACGTTACCCTAATATTTCTACACAAACATTTTAATCAATATTACATAGGTATTTATATACCAAAGTGGAATACCCATCTTTCGATGTGGGATAATTCCCAAACATCATTAAATGAAAAGGGAATTTAAATATATTCTATTAATCATCAAATTATAACCACATATGGTGAGGTGGCGTGGTGGTTAAGACCTTTGCTTCTTCATGTGATGTCTCAAGGTTGAGTCCACCTGTGGCATTATTTTTTTGTGTTGTATAGTTTTTGTTGTATATATTGTATAAATATTTTTATAAATAATATAAAAAGCATAAAAAAATAAAAACAAATTAATTTTTTGTATAGCAGTTAATTTTTGTTGTATATAGTGGTATAATTATTTTTTTAAATTATATGAAAGGCATAAAAAAATAAAACATAAAAAGTTTATTCCATTTGAAATCTCCATCTTTCTACTAACAATCTCTTTCACTAAATTTATTATAGAAACCTAAAAAAATAAATTTTTGAAAAATTAAAGTGTTATTTCTAAAATTTGTACGCATTTTATTAATTTTTACATTGATAACCAAATATTTTATTTTATTTATTAATTTTTACATTACAAATCATGTAATGTATTATTTTTCTTACAGTTGTCAAAAATACATTTTAAATTAGATAATATTAT